TCTGCTGGCTGTAACAGAGGAGCTTGGACCCTCGTCTGCCCGGCCCGTTAGAGGACACAGAGTCTTTGTTCTGGGCATACTGGATGATGCGGTTCAGTTTCTGGCTGAAGGCCAGCTTCATGCCCTCGTAAGCACTTTTGGAGACCTTGGAACGTGACAGCTTCTGGTTGGCGATGAGGTGGCATTTCTCAAAGCAGTCTCTGTGGCCGCGCAGGGACTTCGAGTGCAACAAGGTAGCAGAGGAGACACCTGCATTCAAACAGACATAAAGCAATGAGTCAGTAGGTACGAATGTCTTCACCCAAAAACACATGAACGACAAAAAAACTGTCAAAAAACAGGGCTCCTTAAACATAAAAAAAAAGATAAAATAGTTGAATATAGATAAAGCAGTTGGTGGTGACTGACCTATTGAATTTGGACACAGCACATAGAAGTAAACCAGTATGATAGTATGCTAAAAGTGGCAGACTGGCCTATGGCTTCTCTCTGTGAAAGCTGCTTAGTGTGCAGTGGATTAGCCACCAGAGCGTTGAGATAGCAGGGATCATAGAGTCCAGGCTCAGTGCAGACACAAAGAGCACATTAGGCGCATTCACACTGCGGTACTTTTCCCACAAAGGTTCATGTGAACTCTTTTATCGCGTTCACACCAAAAAGAGCCGGTACTAAAATTAGTTCATGTGAACCTTTTTACCCGCAGGGACTTTCGTGCGGCTCTCTTGTGAGAAAAGAGCTATATTTCTGATTGGCTGGGCGGATTGCAAACCACGCCCTGTAAAACTCCCAAAAAGTTTTGTGAAGCCGCCATTTTATTATCCTCGCATTAGCATTATTAGCATTAGCATTAGCCCAGCGCAGAAACGCAGAGAGACTAACTTATGGCAACACAAAATAAAACATGGGAGTGGTGGAGATGAGGAGGTGTCGGCGTTCTGGCGATTTACTCGGAAGGCTTCAGTAGAAGCTGCTGGGAGTCCCAGCAGCTTCTACTGAAGCCAGTCCCTAACTCCGGGGACTTCCGGCCGGGGACTTTGGGCGGCAGTATACGCCGTGAAGTGGTTTGCGGCCTGCCAGTAAACCCAAAGCAGAAGAAGAAGAAGTGACGTCAGCGGCTTCATTTGCCTAATCCACCCCCAGGGACTTTTTCCAGTGTGAACGCGATCTGTACTTAGTTCATGCGAACTAAAGAGTTCACATGAACTAAGTTCACATGAACCTTTGTGGGAAAAGTACCGCATTGCGCCTGAGATCTACTGGGAAACAGAAGGGAGGAAGGTGTCTTTCCCAATGTATTACAAATATTTAAATGTATTATTATTTTATAATTGTCAGTTTTTTTATCGACTGTACTTCCTGTATTTACGTTATTAAAAACCAAGATGCAAATATAGTTTTCAATATAAATCGAGAAAGTATTTGGAATAAAATGTGAGAAAATAGAATGTTTCCAGTTTCTTAAAGTCCAAGGCGAGACAAAAAAAAAAGACATTCACTGTAACACACTATTTGAAGGACAAATTAATTATTAAAATAGTTGCCCATTTTGTTTCTGTTGATCCACAAAATCGATTAGTCGGATAATCTGTGCAGCTCCACACAACACCATAGTATCCGTATATGAGACACTTTTAACAGAAGATCAGCTTTGTGCAAGAAACAAAACAACGGAATAGGAAGAAGAGAAAAAACAACTTCAGCTCGGGGGCTGATATTCTATAATTAAACTACATTCTTTGGAAGTTACACTATGGGAAAAAGGGAATGCTTCCTGGACCCAGTCAAAACAGCGCACACAATTTTAGCACGTAAAGAACACATTGACACAAAGCAAGGGGACCAAAGTGTAAATAACGTCTCAGTAAGGTTGGCCAGATCTAAATAAACAAAGGGAGATCTGAAAGTGAAAGTGAAGTGTGTGTGTGTGTGTGTGTGTGTGTGTGTGTGTGTGTGTGTGTGTGTGTGTGTGTGTGTGTGTGTGTGTGTGTGTGTGTGTGTGTGTGTGTGTGTGTGTGTGTGTGTGTGTGTGTGTGTGTGTGTGTGTGTGTGTGTGTGTGTGTGTGTGTGTGTGTGTGTGTGTGTGTGTGTGTGTGTGTGTGTGGGTGGGGAAAGCACAAGGGGCTAAAGTGAGCGAGTGCTCCACATGCGTCTGAGTGTTGGCCTTCCTTTCACAGCCTGCATTTCTCGGCAGACAGACGTCGTGTTGGGGCCTGAGGTGAGGAGATAAGTCACTGTCATCCATAGAGATTCTAGAGCTCCCTCGGATAGGTTCAGCTTACAGGCTTCTCTCAGCACACACATGATACAGATGCACAGGAAATGACAATACCACCTCAGGACAACAGTGCAATTGGTACAAACACACACACGGCCCTTGTATTTTAATGTAACACACAAACCTATAAAGGCTGTGCCAATTGCTGATCGGATCGTATACTTATTGTATTGCCATCTCTTTTTTATACAATAAAACAAAACATGAGGTTTTCCTTGGACACTAAACCTAAGTTGTCCATGCAATTGGATCTCTTAATGAGGATCTTGAGTTTATTGATTGGCCCATATGAAATTAGAAACGATTGCCCAACCCTGTACTCAAATCTGGGGTTTCAGTTTCCTTTAACACAGAGTTATGGCAGCCAAAACCAAGAGGGTCAGTGAACGAGTGTCTTTGTCTCAAAGATTCCCTGATGGTTTAGATGTAGTATGACCAGAAAAGAAAAAAAAGAGCAACTGTTCGTGATCAAGATTAGACAGAATTCAGAAAGAAACATTTCAAACAGATAGGCCTAACAAATGTGTTTGCCAACAGAAAAAAGGGTTTTGACTTCACATTAAGGGTAAGACCGGCAATGGAAAAAGAAAACGCGTCCATTAGTTGGTAAGAAAACAGAACAGAAACGCAATGAACTGCCTTAACACACAGCAGCGGCTACAAGCAGTTCTTTATAGAACTAGTAAGTCTGCTAAAGCAGTGATTCTCAAACTTTTTTCAATCATGTACCCCCTTTGAAAAAATAATTCAGCCAAGTACCCCCTGATCAGCACAAAAAAAATTGCTAGGGAAAAAATGCCTATATAAAGAGGTACAGCACAGCGTTGCACCATCAGTGTCTGATTTATTAAAACAACAACATTGTAACTGAGAAACACTTAAATGCTACATTTCAAATGTTTACAATCCATCACTAAATTCATGGCAAACCAATTTTAACATCATGCAATAACACTGAGACGACATTAGTTGCATTGAACTGATCTTTTTAATAAGTTGTACTTACAATTTAGTGAAACATGGGCTTGAGCTTCACTGGGGATCTTTGTTATTCTCAGTGACAGGAAGGCCACTGCAGTTATTACACTTCACTTTTTGAAATATGTGTAACTCTGTTAATATAAAACCCACACTGCTCAAACTTCGTTACTTTTCCTAAAATTGGTATTTTTTTTTTTTTCATTAACATAAAAATAAATCTCACGTACCCCCTGCAGTACTCCAACGTACCCCTAGGGGTCCGCGTACCCCCATTTGAGAACCACTGTGCTAAAGTGATACTCGTACAAAGAGTGAAGTGTCACTTTTGTTCCAGGTGTGATGATCTTTTAAAAACACTATGTTGACTGAAAGCATGAGGATGAATATAAGCTTTAAGCACCATTTATTTGTAGGGGAAATTGTCTGGTCTTGTTTCTGTCAAGTGCAATCTCTTTACATGTCTTTTGAAGGATTGGTGTATGCCTGCAGGATTATTACAAATAAAACACCTTATGTAGGACAGCCATTTGATATGATATACAGTGGGGCAAAAAAGTATTTAGTCAGCCACCAATTGTGCAAGTTCTCCCACTTAAAAAGATGAGAGGCTTGTAATTTTCATCCTAGGTATACCTCAACTATGAGAGACAAAATGAGAAAAGAAAAAAATCCAGAAAATCACATTGTCTGATTTTTAAAGAATGTATTTGCAAATTATGGTGGAAAATAAGTATTTGGTCAATAACAAAAGTTCATCTCAATACTTTGTTATATACCCTTTGTTGGCAATGACAGAGGTCAAACGTTTTCTGTAACGGAGCGTCCACACTACAGCTTCAAAAAAAGCTTGGAGCTGGGCGTGTCCGAAGCTTGGGGATGTTATTCAAGCAACACGACCAACAACCAATCACATGAATCTCCCGCCCCCGACATACAAAGCAAAAACCCCCGGGGATTTTATGGGAGCAATATATATATATAAACTCCCCAAACAGGCGAAAACCTACCAGTTTCACCCACTGTCTCTGCCACCTCCCTCCATGCCTGGTTCCTCCGGTTTGTATCCCGGTAGGAGAAGAGGGTCTGGTCATACAAAACCGGGTGATTCGCTACGGCGATAATTAGTTTCTCCTCCATCTTTTTTTGAAATATAGAAATGAACGGCGGGATATCTCTCCCAGCTTAGACGCGGTTTGATTGGCTACGGCTTGAGCTGTCAGATTTTCCGAAACGGGATTTGATTGGCTGGCGCTGGCTACTCCGGCGTCAGAAGTTGAACATTGTTCAACTTCTGACGCCTGAGACGGACCGCTCTGCTACCCACAATTCAGTTCGGCGAAAAAAAGCGGCAACGTGACGTCACCCCATTCAAAGTGAATGGGCAGATTGAAGCTATCGACGCTGCAGACGCTGTAGTGTGGACGGGCCGTAAGTCTTCACAAGGTTTTCACACACTGTTGCTGGTATTTTGGCCCATTCCTCCATGCAGATCTCCTCTAGAGCAGTGATGTTTTGGAGCTGTCGCTGGGCAACACAGACTTTCAACATTCCCTCCAAAGATTGTCTATGGGGTTGAGATCTGGAGACTGGCTAGGCCACTGCAGGACCTTGAAATGCTTCTTACGAAGCCACTCTTTCGTTGCCCGGGCGGTGTGTTTGGGATCATTGTCATGCTGAAAGACCCAGCCACGTTTCATCTTCAATGCCCTTGCTGATGGAAGGAGGTTGTCACTCAAAATCTCACGATACATGGCCCCATTCATTCTTTCCTTTACACGGATCAGTCGTCCTGGTCCCTTTGCAGAAAAACAGCCCTAAAGCATGATGTTTCCACCCCCATGTTTCACAGTAGGTATGGTGTTCTTTGGATGCAACTCAGCGTTCTTTCTCCTCCAAACACGTCTAGTTGAGTTTTTACCAAAAAGTTCTATTTTGGTTTAATCTGACCATATGACATTCTCCCAATCCTCTTCTGGATCATCTAAATGCTCTC